TTTTTGATTTTTTTTCTCCCTTAAAGTTTAAATTTAAAGCAAAAAATTTGCACAGGGAAAAAGGCACAGCAACTACAAGTACAGAAGAAATATTGCATTATTGAAGCAGTGAATAAATTGACAACTAAACGTAGACAAGAAATGAATGAAATATCAAGAGAAACAGCAATTAAAGTAATGAAAATTTGATAACTTGCCTTATTGAGAGTGGCTCTCACAATTTTCCAAACTTCTATCATATCAAGTGAAAACAAATCAAGTTTGTCCAATTTCTCCTTATAGCTAATACACTCCAAACCAGGCAACAACCTGGTAAACAATTGAAGTACCATCTCCAAAGCTTGCACATCCTTCTTGTACTGTGGCCAGAACTGTACACATTATTCCAAATGTGTCCTGACTAAACTTTTATACAGCTGCCAATTGACTTGCCAATTTTTATACTCCATGACCCACCCCATGAAGGGAAGTATGCCATATGCCTTCTTGACCACCTTATCCACTTGAGTTGCCACTTTCAGGGAATTGTGAACCTGTATGCCTAAATCCCTCTATGTTGATCCTATTAAGAGTTCTGCTATTTGCTGTGCACTTCTCTCCTGCATTAGATTTTCCAAAATGCATCAGCTCACATTTGTCCAGATTAAATTCCATCAGCCATTTTTCCACCCAAGTCTCCAGCCTATCTACATTGATATCTGTATGATGTCATCCGCAAACTGGCTAATCAGGCCACCTACATTCTCCTCCAAATTATTCAAATATAATATAAACAACAAGGGTCCCAGCACTGATCCCTGCAGGACACCTGGTCACAGATCTCCAGTCAGAGAAACATTCTCCTGCCACTACTCTCTGTCTTCTATGACAAAGCCAGTTCAGTATCCATTTTACCAGTTCACTTCAGATCCCATGTGAGTTCACCTTTTGTATCAGTCTGCCATGAAGCACTTTGTCAAAGACCTTGCTAAAGTTCATTGAGACAACATCTACCATTCCTGCCCTCATCAATGAAAAAGTGCTCATGGAGTTCTGACACCTTCCCTCTGAGTCCCAATCTAAGGTTTTGGAGTAGATGTGTAGCTCGAGTTGTGGGTTTTGAGGTTTGGTTGGCTCGCCGAGCTGGTTTGTTCTTCCGCAGACGTTTTGTTACCGTGCTTGGTAACATCCTCAGTGCAGCCTCTGATGAAGCGTCGATGTGTTTTCCCGCCTGGTTTTTAAACTCTGGGGTCCGTTGCGATGGATTGCCTCACTTCTGGGTTTCCTCTGTGGTGGAATGTAAATGGGGTCGAGTTCAATGTGTTTATTAATAGCATGCTTCGTGGAGTGCCATGTTTCCAGGAATTCTCGTGCTTGTCTCTGCCTAGCCTGTCCCAGAATCTTGGTGCTGTCCCAGTCGAAGTCATGGTTCTCCTTGTCCATGTGGATTGAGATGAGTGAGTATTGGTCGTGTCTTTTTGTAGCCAGTTGGTGTTCATGTACTGTTGTTGTTAGTTTCCTTCCTGTTTGTCCGATGTGGTGTTTCTCACACATTGAACTCGACCCCATATACATTCCACTACGGAGGAAACCCAGAAGTGAGACAATCCATCGCAACGGACCCCAGAGTTTAAAAACCAGGCGGGAAAACACACCGACGCTTCATCAGAGGCTGTACTGAGGATGTTACCAAGCACGGTAATGAAACGTCTGCAGAACAACAAACCAGCTCGGTGAGCCAACCAACCTCAAAGAATCCCAGTCTCTCAGCAATTGTCCTGCTGCTCATCTCACCTGAATTAAATACTTTCACCTGAATTAAAAACTTCCCCAGGGTCCCTTGACACAACAGAGCAAAGAATTAAACTTATTTTTCAACATGTCTAGCAGTTAGGTGAACCTTCCAACTCACCCGCTCATCTTATCAATCATCAGAAAAGTTAACTATAGGTGCACGTTTCTAATGATTGTTTCGGTATCAGCTGTGTATTTGCAGGATTACTTCCAATTATAAAAGCCTGTTGCAACTTGCAGTAACTGCACTACTGATCTTTTCAGACCCTAATCTGATGCCCAGTTACAGCTAAAGTCTTGTGCAAGGACAGAAAATGTTGGTCAGAATTGTTTAACTGCTTAACAGTTGTAGATTAGTGCAGAGAATAAGTCGTGACACTTGAGGCAAGTGTAAGTAGGAAAACACAGCTATCATGGGGCACTTCAGACTGGGCAAGCTAAGTTTGCAGTAATAGTATAAAGGATGACTTTGTAAAATGTAATACAAGGTGTTTTTTTTAGATCAAGATGTTAAGAAATCAACTAGGTTAATTTGAATTGGGGCTGAATTTTACCAAAAAATGTCAGCTAAATATCAATACTTATGGAGGGTTTCTCTTCAAGAGTTCCAGAGAATTGTCTCATGCAATTCTCCACAGCTCACCTTATTGTATGTGCACCACACTTCTTTGGTATGTGGTTTTGCTATCATGCACTCATCGGCATCAAAAATAGGTCTTAGTGCAGTGACTTTCCAGGAAAAGCAGCTGTGCAACAGGTCAAGTATTTGCAGATGTTTTCCATCCAACCTGTTCAAGGAAGTTATTACAATCTTTGGAGTAGGCAGGACTTGATCCCAAGCCTCCTGGCTCAGAGACCACAACAGCCCTCTCCCACACTTCGATGCTGAGTTGCCCTTCCTTAACAATTGTTACACCCTCTGATCCCAGCATGCTGCTTCCAATCCTAGAGTAGACTCCTCCAGCACCCCCACCACAACAAAGGTCCCTGATAAACCGAGACAACAAGGTGCAGGGCTGGATGAACACAGCAGGCCAAGCAGCATCATAGGAGCAGAGAGGCTGACGTTTCGGGCCTAGACCCTTCATCAGAAAAGGGGGAGGGGAAGGGGGTTCCGAAATAAATAGGGAGAGAGTGGGAGGGGGATAGAAGAGGGATAGAGGAGAGGATAGGTGGAGAGGAAACAAACAGGTCGAAGAGGCGGGGATGGAGCCAGTAAAGGTGAGTGTAGGTAGGGAGTTAGGAAGGGGATAGGTCAGTCCAGGGAGGACGGACAGGTCAAGGGGGTGGGATGAGGTTGGTCGGTAGGAGATGGAGGTGCGGCTTGAGGTGGGAGGAAGAACAGGTTAGGGAGGCAGGGACGAGCTGGACTGGTTTTGGGATGCGGTAGGGGGAGGGGAGATTTTGAAACTTGTGAAATCCACATTGATACCATTCGGCTGCAGGGTTCCCAAGCGGAATATGAGTTGCTGTTCCTGCAACCTTCGGGTGGCATCGTTGTGGCACTGCAGGAGGCCCAGGATGGACATGTCGTCTGAGGAATGGGAAGGGGAGTTGAAATGGTTCGCGACTGGGAGGTGCAGTTGTTTATTGAGAACCGAGCGTAGGTGTTCTGCAAAGCGGTCCCCGAGCCTCCGCTTGGTTTCCCCGATGTAGAGGAAGCCACACCGGGTACAGCAGATGCAGTATACCACATTGGCAGATGTGCAGGTGAACATCTGCTTGATGTGGAAAGTGGCAGAT